GCTTTAAACTTATCAATCGTCCCATCAACTTCATATTTTTCTTATAGGATTCATTTGCATTCTAAAGATTTACAACCCTCAGGGATATCAACCAACTCCGAAGTATGATTTTGCATAATGGACTCAATTTCACTATTTATAACTTCTTCCCAGAGTAGTCCATATGGGTTGTACAAAGCTTCCTTAATGGAACTCGTCTCATCGTCCAACGTGTACGTAAAAAAATCAGATCCAAACATTTTTGTCGTTTTTACTCTTTTACTACGTCTCGGTTCTTCATCTCTTTCTTCAGTATCATCTGGTACATAACCGCTAGCAGTTTCATATATCCGTTTGTTAGAACTAGATTCTGAGGAAAATTATTTTTAAAGAATATAACATTCCTCGACTTTGTGGTACCAACAGATATCTCTGGTTTTTCTAACTTATAAACCAGAAATATGTATGTTGTGCTATTGTACGCATATCCAATTAATATACAATCAACCGTCTTTGGTCCAATACTCATTTCTTTGGGTTCAAGTACTGAAACCTTAACCAAATTGTTTGTTATGTTTTTGTGTTTATTTTCTTGTGTTTTATGTGGTTAGTCGAGTCATTTTTAGGTTCGGTTTTGAGTCAATCGGTCCATTTTTTTGTGTTTTATGTGTTTTTGTTTTCGTTATGTGTTCTTGTACTTTGTCGTATTTTCGCGTATCTTTTGGTGTATTATGTAGGTCCATTTTGCACGATCGGGAAGACAAGTATTTTCCGTAACATATTCGAGCCATCCGAACCATTTGATCGAACATTCGAGTCAAAAGTAGCATAGCCACACTCGCAGCCAATCCGCATTCGCGACGTGCGACTTGGCCCATGAGGCGCCCAGCTAGCCCTCGCACTCGCTGCGAATTTCTTTTCGCAAGCTGCCAAACGCCGCTCCCTAGCACACTATGCTTACACTCGCCAGCGAACTGGGCTTCGCGAGCTGCGAAACGCGTACCCAAGGCACCCAAAGCCCACACTCGCTGCGAAACTACTTTCGCCACCCACGAAACACCCATTCCAGCACTGTTCCATGCCCAAACTCGCTGCAAACTCCATTTCGAGACCTGCGAACTGCAGAATTTCATTAAATGTGTGTGTTTCTTGATCACCGTTACTTCACTGAAATAGTCTAAAACCCGAAAGGGGATGGATTATTCGACCATGGCGTGCATAGGGTACACTTGTTTGTAACAGTATACATAGCCCAATTGAGTCCGTCCTTATAGCAAAGTGATGGAATGAGTTTGTTGTTTATGCGTGTGTTCTTGTTACGAAATATTATTGAGAATAAACCTCTAGACGTGTAAACTTGTTGAATCACATAACTGAACAAATAAGTGTTCAACTTAGTTTAGGACATGTTGAGATTTCTTGAACCCTAGAACTTCTATTTTTTCTCTAGTCGTGACTAATTTACTTTTCCAGTTCTAGTTAGTTTTAGTTAATTCATCAAATTAATTGTGATTAGAATGTTTAGAACTTATTTTTATTTCGTGTGTAATCGATATCAATTCTATGTTCTGAACCGCCTTTTTTGAGAGATCGACCCGGAGATCGTGACTCATCTCGTACATGGTAATAAAACATAATTTGCTACAACATTGCATAATTTGCATTTACAAACACAACATATCATACAATTAGAAAATGAGATATAGTCCTAATGTATTCAATTTTAGGAATTACAGTAATGACTATTGTGGTAATGTACAAGAAATGTATACAGGGATTGGCCTAATGTTTCTTCGTGTTTCTGATCTTTCTTGTGTTTTATTTTGTGTGACGCACGTCATCGCTAGGTTTGAGGTGTATCCGGTGAGGCTTTTGACGCTAATTTGAGGTATGGTTGTGGGGTCGTCTTGAGGCGTCGTATGACCTTGATGGTTGATCTTGAGATGTTCAGGTTACTCACTGAGATCTCCTCTAGCAGGCCCCTAGTTCTTGTCCCAATCCAGGTTGGTGATCTGATCTTTGGAAATCATTAAAAA